CCCACTCATCGTCAATCCTTCACCAAGCCAAGCCAGCGTCAGAAGCGATAGATAGACAGATACTCACCTCACACACCTCCCTCCCCCTCCCCCTCTCCCCTCCACTCGCACGGTAGTCACATTACGCCACACAACACACCACACCACACCACAACACCCTCATGCATCATGCTGCATATGGATGCCGTCTCAGCTTCGTCGCTCGTGTAAGGTAAGGTACAGGTGGGGAAAAAAACCCAGTTGCTCAGGCACGTTGGCACGTTGGCAGCAGGAGGTAGGCATCAAATCAGACAGACAACAAACAAACAACCGCACCTTCAGCCCCAGCGCCAGCCCCACACGCAAAACACACACCAGCAAACACTACCACAAACAACACAGAGCACGTCAGCAAAGAAAGAGGGGAAAGAAACAAAGCAGCCTCCCCTGCTTTGTTGGCTACGGTATGTCTGTCTATCGTCCGTCCACTCGTCGTCCATCAGTCCGTCTACCTGTCCGTCAGTCTGTCTATCGTTGTGTGCCGTCCATTGCAGTCCCAGAGAGGCAGCCACGAACCACTTATCGTGCTCAAAAAAAGACGCCTCATGAGCAACCAACCATCCAACCAACTCGTGTCAAAATAACCCATCCACTCATTCCAAGAAAACAACAAACCTCGGCTGTCTCTCTCGATCAGTGTGATCGTCAGAATATGGACAGGCAAGTCGTTGAGAAGACAAAGAAGAGGGCAGCGTGTGTGTGTGAGGGGAGGCCGGCTGTGCAGGACACTCGTGCTGGTGCGTGCTTGCGTGCCATCCAGACCCAGAGAAGGGATGGACAGACAGACAGACAGACAGACAGAGAGGTAGACAAGATAGATAGGGCGGGGGATCGATCGGCAGGGGGCTGGGAAAAAGTCCGTTGACTCACTCAGAGAGGGACAGAGAGGCAGCCTGCCGGCTGGCCTCTCGTCTCGCCTCACTTATGATACATCCATCCATCGCTCATTGACGAGAACACACGGGCTCTCTCCCCTCCCCCTCCCCTGCAATGCCCTGCCCTGCCCACCACCTCCATCACCACGCCATCTGCCTGCCTGCCTGCCTGCCTGCCTGACACGGCATGAAAAGCAGCTCACGTGTAGCATGTATATGTATGTGTGAACGTGTGTGAGTGTGTCGGCCATATTCATCGATCCATCCGGGCATCCATCCGTCCCTCCGTCCGTTTGTCCGTCCGTCCGTGTGAGTGTTGAAAAACCCCCTCTGCAGTCACTACCGCAGGGGGCGTGACAGCCATCCATCCATCCATTCATCCAGACGTGATCGCTCTCCCATTCAGCCACACCCCACACCACAGCACAGCACGGCCCGCCCATCGCACCACCCACATATGAGCATCCATTTCATCCATCAGCAGATGTGCATAGGTGAGGTGCGGTGAGATGGATGAGTGTGCGTCCGTCCGTCCGTCCGTCCGTTAGTGTGTCCACGTGTGTGTGCGTGCGTGCCGCACTCAGAACGGTTGGTGAGGTGTGGTTGGTAGGTAGGTACAAGGAAGGAAGGCAACTTACACACAGGTACAAACAAAGATACACAGACATACACAGCCGAGCACAAAGAAAGCAAGCCAAGCAAGCCAAGCAACAAACAAACATACGGCACCACAAATCGCTCGCTCACCCATCCATCCATCCGCTCACTCGCCAGCATGAGACAGGTAGGTAGGTACTCACAAAGACAGGTACGTACGCAGACACACAGACAGACATGTAGGCTCGCCCCCAGAAGAGCCAGGCGGGCAGGCAGGCAGGTCGGCAGGTAGATCATGCCTCCTCCCTCCACTCACTCACTCGCACAGCAAGCACGCATCATACGTATGGTATGGATCTCATTCAAATCGCGTTCATCCATCCATCCACTTGATTAAACCACCTGCCTGGCTGCCCACCATCCGTCCCTCACTGACTCACATACATCACAGCAACGACCCCTCTCTCTTCCGTCGCCGCGTCCCATCCACCGCCCCCTGCTCATCGATGACCATCTTGCCACCACCACCACCACCGCCCAGCCCACCGCTGAGGTCGCTGCTCTCGCTCGTGCTGCTGGGCTCCTGGTCGACGATCGACGCGTAGCACTTGGACGGGCGGAGGCCGCTCGAGTGGGCCTGGTGGTGGTGGTGTGGCTGCGATGGGTGTGTGTGTGTGTGAGGGGTGGGGAAGGGGGGGAGGGAGCCGGGGTGGGGGTGGGGGTGCGATGGGGTGTGCACGTGCTGGTGCGGAGGGGTCGAAACGTCCAACTCGATGTCTAACGTACCTGCACACCACACAACATAACATACACAACCAAACACACCATGGTCACCCTCCATCCATCCATTCTCTCTTCGCTCTCCGCAGCCCTCACCGTTGTCCATAATGACATCTTCCTTCTTGATGAGTACGGCCCGGCCGCCGGGCGGCGACACCCCTCCCTCAGACAGCGACCGACACGACGGCGAGGGGAAGCCTCCCTGCCCACACCCAACGACCGATGCCGCGTGCGGGTGGCTGCCGATGGTGTGGGCGTCCTTGACGCAGCTGCTCGTCGTGTGGGCCGTCACGTGGGCGCCCGCATGGTGGTATGGGGTGGGGTACTGGAACGAGTAGGGGGTGATGTCTGTGTCGGGGCTGTCGAGGTCGATGGGGGTCTGTGAGAGGGGCAGCAGCTGGGTGTGGTAGTGCAGCATCTCGCGCCAGATCTCCTTGCGGAGGACGGCTGGCGTGGGGTTGCACTCGAACGCAAACTCGCTCGGCTCGATGTGATGACGCACCGGCTGCACGCGCACGCATTAATCACACATCATACACAACACATACATCTCTCTCCTGTGTTGTCTCGTGTGTGGCGTGCTTCTTTGTTTGCTTGCCTCGTCATCGGAGCAGTGTAGCGTCTGCAGGTATGGGTGTGCGAGTGCGTCGACCACGGTGATCCGCTCGGTCGGGTCAAACTTGAGCGTCTTCTCGAGCAAATCCAACGCCAGCTCAGGCGCATCGGGAAACAAATCCCTGACGACACACGCGCACACGCGACAACACGCAGAGTGACCTCTGGCCCGCCTGCGTGTCTGTCTGTGTGTGTCGGTCAAGTACCTGAGTGGCACCGGTGCGGCGTCAGGTAGGTTCTTAATGAATTCGCGGCACTTGGCGTTCTCGATGGCCCCCAGCTGGCGGGCGTTGGGCTTCCCGACCACTGCGATCACCTGACGCAGCTGATCACGCGTGTCACGACCTGCACAGCCATCCACACACAACTCACAGAGACAGCTATGTTGTCTGTCTGTGTGTGAGTAGATACCGTTGAACAGTGGTTTCCGTCCGAGCAGTTCAGCGAATATGCATCCGATGGACCAGACGTCGACGGCCTCGTCGTAGTCCTTCCACGAACACAACACCTCAGGCGCACGATACCACCTGTCGACCATCACATATATCAGCACACCATTGAATTGCTTGCTGTTCGGTCCGTCAAGTTGAGTCATGGGCGACCAGCGCACCCGCCCACACGTCCACCCACCTGGTGGAAACGTATTCCGTCATCTCTACTGGGTAGCTGTCGACGTTCTGGAAGACCACCCGGGCGAGGCCGAAGTCGCAGATCCGCAGGTCGCAGTTCGAGTCCACCAAGATGTTCCGGGGCTTCAGGTCACGGTGGATGATCCCCTGAGCCACACACAGAAGACCAGACAAACAGACAGAGAGAGGGGGTCGTTGTTGTGGTGGTTTGGGTGGGTCGGTGGGTGGGTCAGGGGGAGGGTACGGTGTGTGAGGGTAGGTACCGTACCGCTGAGTGTATGTATTTGATTCCTCTGAGTATCTGGTAGAGGAAGAACTGGTGGTGTTCGTTGGAGAGCTCCTGCATCGACTTGATGATGGCCCCCAGGTCGGTCTCGTTGAGGTTGCACACTATGTAGATGTCGTTGAACGTCGCGAACGGGCCGGACAGCGACACCTCCTTGACCTGGACCACGTTCTCGTGACGCAGGTGGCGCAACGTCCGCAACTCACGCAAAGCACGCTTGGTGAACAGCACGTGCTGCACAGCAAAGCAAAGCGAATGACACACACAAAGGGGCAGACGTTGGTGTTGCGTGCTGGGTGGGTGGGGTGTCCGTCGTCTCGTCTCACCTCGAACGCCTTCTCACATTTCTTGATGGCGACCTCCTCTCCCGTGCGCGTATCGCGGGCCGCCACGACAACACCATATGCACCCTGCACACAACACAACACAACACAATACAACACACAAGCATAACGGCAAGCCCTTCACGTAGCCGTGTACACAGCTGTGGCTTCCTGGCTGCACGCTGGCTGTGTGGGGTACGGTACCTGTCCGATGACCTCGAGCAGGTCATACCGCTTATCGATGATAAAGTCCACCCCATTGATCGTCTGCAGGGACGGAACCACACCGACACACCATGGACTGATGAACCGACCCATGAGTGATGAACTCGCAGCTCGCCTCCCGTACTGTACCCACCTTAGTTTCGAGCTCGTCCATCCAGGGATGATGTTCCATGAGGGTGAGCGTGGGGAGGTGGTGTGTGAGGCGACCGCCGCCGGCTCGTAGGAGCATGTCTCCGCCCGACACAATGTCACTGCTCGACTCCAGCTCCGCCTCGTGGTGGTTGAGCGCCATGAGGTTGCTGGTGGACTCGGGCAGCGACAGGCGGGGGAAGGCCGAGGGGTTCTCCTCCTCGTCTACACACTCGTGCACCTCCTCGATGTGGAAGTGGCGTGGCTCCTCTTGCCGCTTGCCGAACCAAGGGAACCGCCGCGTCTGAGTGCTGCCTCGTGCCGACCCTCCTCCTCTCATGGGGAGCAATCAGGGGAGCATGGGTTAGGCCGGAGGCAGAGACAGGTCTTGGGGAGACCCGAGATACCGAGACAACCGACGGATGAAGCTACGGGATCCCCAAAGAATAGGTCAGAGGCAGCTAGTGGCAAAGGGCATCCATACTACACCACAAGCACAGGAATGCTGCCAGTTCCCAACTTTGCGAGCCTTCAAGTTAAGCTCGCAAAGTACTTTGCGAGCCTTCAAGTTAAGCTCGCAAAGTTGGGCCTCATGTGTTTTCGAAGGCTGCTGGCTCTCCTAACTTGCCTCGCCTGCTGCGCATGCACTCTCTCCCTTGAGACCGTTTCCTCGCCCACGAGAACAAGCCCGCCCGGAGCTGAAGCATGGGTAAGCTCATGAGGACCAGCAGAGGGATGGACCAGGTGTGCATGTCGGCAGTGCTGCATGCTGTGGCTGCTCTCTCTTTCAGGTGTGGCTGCGGCGACAGTTTCTGCGGTATGGACCCGGATCATGGGCGGAGCATCTGGCGCCTCGGCTGGCCATCGAGGACAGACAGGATGACAAAAAATGGACAACAGAACCGCCAATCAAGGTAAAATAAACCAATGAATGGACCGCGCCCGTCAAATCAATTGGCCCCTGCCTGTGTCTCTGTCCGCGCAGGTTGTCGGCCCCGGGATGTCTCCCGCCGGCTGGGGCGTCAGAGTCGCTTGGCATGGCCTCACTGAGGAGCGTCTGATCCGGTCCTACGTCGCCATTTGTCGCGCCGATGTCGCTTTGGTGTGCGAAGGGCACAAGGGTGGGAAGGGGAGGGCATGGCAGTGGACCAAGAAGAGCGACAGCTTCCCCCACCCCCTTGAGAGCGAAGCTTACTCGGGGGAGCTTCGGCTGGAGGCCCCGTTGGTCGAGGGCGAGTACGAGCTGAGGATGTTTGATGGGTGGGTAGGTCTGGGACGGAGGGAGGGAGGGAGGGAGGGAAGGGCACGCAACACGACACGGTGTTCTTATGTCTCAGTGTGGGCATCTTGGCGGACTTGATTGCAGTCGATTCTCTCACTGTGCGGCTGCAGCTGTCAGTGCCAAGTGTGCTAGCTCTGGACAGTGGGTCCCTTGACGTGCATTGGCGAGGCATGCGGAACACCGGCCTCTTCACTGCATACTGGGTTGCCCTCGAAGTGAGTGAGTGAGTTAGAGCCCAGCAAAAACACTCGAGTATCAAACTTGAGACCGCTGCCTTGTCGGTTGGATTCCCGTAGGCGAGTGTGAGGTGGCATGGTGTCTCTCCGCCATCGATCGAGACATGGCATTGGGAGTGGCTTTGGCACCCATCCTGCCTGTTTGTCACTTGTGACTCGTCCATCGCACTCCACGCGCCGATCGACCGAATCAAGACGTAGGCTGTCAGCCACAAGCAGGGGACAGCAAGAGACCGGCTGCTCGTCTTGTGTGTTTCCTGCAGTCTGTCCCGCAAGCAGCGCTGGGGCTCTGTGACATCCTTCTCCGTCCACGCGAGTCTCTACCGTCGGGGCATCGGATGGGGTGGCGAAAGCCCACACCTGCTCCAACAAGTACCACTTGACGTGCTTGACAAGACACCAAAGACCATGCAGTGGCGCGGCGACGCACCCTTCACAGAAGACACGGGACTTCAGCCATCAGCCAACGAGCCAACGCCGCGCCCTGACACAACCGCAACAGCCACTGACGTGCCCATGAATCGCGTGCTTGAGCTCTTCCCTCAGCTGGCGGCTGTCCACTCTAAAGCGAAATGGGCGTGGGAGATTGTGGTGATGCGAGCAGATCCACTTGGGACACTCCAGGCCATGACTGCGCGGATGAAAGAGGCGATGACGAAGCAGATGGACGAGACGGCAACGCCAGGGGCTCACGAAGGACCCAGCAATGCGACGGCGGGCACGCAAGTGCCACGTGTGTCTCATGAGGCCACTCATCAATCACAGAGGCCAGGTAGACGATTCGTGACGGAGGCTGCCAATCGGGCGTGGAAATGGCTGACAACCGTGTTGCCGCCCGGCCGCAACGACACAGGAAGTGAAGAAGCGGGGAAGGTGCTCATGGCTGAGACACGAATCCGATCAGAGGAGAAAGCAGCGGCAAAGCCCAAAGACAAGCCGACTGAAGAACCACAACAGCCAGACGTGCTTCTCAAGCCTGCTTCTGAAGAACCAAAGCAACAGGGGACGCCCGAAGTGCCGAGGCCAGGCCAACCGGTGCAAACAGAGCAGGAGAAGACCTCTGAAGCCGTGGCGGAAGCCGAAGCCGCTCTAAGGCAGCAGAAAGAAGAAGGAAGGGTACTTCCCGAGCCCGAGCAAGCTGCAGAGGATCAGAAGAGATCTGAAATGCCGATCCCAGGACAATCAATCCCATATGAGCAGCACCTAACAGAGACGGCCGACGACACAACAAAAGTGATACCCACAGAGCAGCCACCAAAAGACGAGAAACACGAGACGATGGTACGGGCGACGGATGTCCCATTGGAGCAAGTTTCTGAGCCTGAACGACCCGCTGCGCAAAGACCAGCGCCCTCACCGAGACCGTCTCCGCCCGAAACGCCCCCCTCCACAAGTGACTGGCTTCGTCCAGTCGGCCTCGTCCATCCCACAACGCCAATCACCCCAGAAGGGCAGCTTCCCTCGTGCCCCCTGTCACCCTGGGAGAACGCCGAGGTGACAGTCGACAAGAGCGGTCGCAAATGGAGGAAGCAAAGGCGTCACCCCAACATTACTGGAGGAGAGTGCCGGCTGGACGGCGAGACTCTCGAGCGGCTCGTGACGTGTCAGGGGCGATGCGACAGACACCTTGTGCAGCCAGGTCGGCCTTCCTTTGTATACGATAGATGATGAAGGATGCAATGTTTTATTCCATCTGCTGAGGATATCCACTTGCCATGCCATGTTCAGGTGCATTCTTGCCTGAGGTAATGGCGACTCCCGTGCCCACGATGCCCATGATGGATGCTCTCGTGGCGTCCTTCTGGGTCGTGGTCAACATCGGTGTTGCTGCTGTGGCCATTGCTGTGTGAGCCATATTACACCAGTGAACACCGGAGCCGCAAGACAGTGTGTCTCTCTTGTGTGTGCCTCCCTCCAGCGTGTATGTCGAGCACGTTGACACGTTCAGAAACCGCGGCGCTGCAAAGGAGCCAAGCGAGACCGTGATGTCGTTTGCATCCTTGGCGTCCCCGTGGTCCGTCATCATGGCACTGAGGAAACTCCGGCAGCCAACGATGTCGCGGCAACCGCCCAAAGTGGCTACCAAGGCCACACAGACAACGCTTCTCATGATTCAAGAAGACACCGTGGCTGCATCCAGCGAGCCAGTGGCTGATTATGGGGCGGACAAGTGCCCCCAGCCACCGCTGAGAGCTGAGGAATTGGTTGCCCAAGGGCTTGGAGAAATGCTGGCTGCAAGGCGGAAAGATCCACCCTCGGTTCCCAGCAACAAGGCGAACAAAGATACGGCTCCGTCTCTGGCAGACGTCACCCAACGAAGCATGTCCGTACAGGTGTCTCTTACTCCTCCAGCTGTGCCGCCACCGCCAGTCCCACCCCCACCCCCACGCCCTCCAGCCCCTGCCGAGCCTTTATTTTCCTTTCATGAGGATGCGATTCGCCTGCAACACGACTCACAACAGTCCGCCAGTGAGTCGACGGCTGCTGATTGGATGACACGTGAGTGGAGGGCTGACGGGCGGGACACAACCACTGGAGGCCCGATGAGGCGTGAGGGTCCCAGGAGGAAAAATGGACGGGTGAGAGAGAAAGCAAGGCAAGACGGGCGTGAGTGACTGTCTTATCTTGCGCCCTTGCGTGTATCCATCCAGGTTCAGCCGCGGGCCGAGCATCGTGCCTCTGTCCCCCTTCCATCATCCTTCTACGGGGCACACCAACGACGCCATTCTACGCCACAGGAAGTGAGGTGGCGGCCACATGACATTGACGGAGGGTTGGAGGCTCGCAGAAGGACATACACGGCCTATCTGGTGCTGAATCCCCCTCCGGAGCTGCAGAGGAGACTGAGACATCCCGATAGATCGACTAGATAGGGAAACAGTGGATGCTGCGCGTGTGTCTTGTTGTTGTGTGGCAGACTTCGTGCTGCCCTCCTCTCTCTGTGCCCGTCGGTCTTGCGCTCTTTGTCTTTAGGTCTGTTCTCATCAGGACGGTCACCGACAGGGAGAAGGCCTTTATCAAAGAACATGAACGAATTATTTGTCCCAGAAACATGTCACACGTCACGGTGCTCGACAATCCGTCAGAGACCGCGACCTGATACCAGCTATCAATTAGGCAAGCAGCGGCGGACCAATATGGACAAAAATCGCCGTGCATCTTCACAGGAGTATAGTGGAACCTGGCCCTTTAAATAGGCTTAAATACTTAACACACGCATTCACACACGCACGCACGCACGCAGGCACGCACACGGACACAACACGCACAGTGCTGGGCGATAAAAACATCACTCGACAGCAAAGGTCAGCCCACGATCATCCTCTGCATGTGGCTGCTTCCCTCCATCCCTGCGTCTCGACAGCAGGCGTGTCCCCTCTCCACTTGCGCTCATCTGCTCGACCTGCGGTGCGTCGACAGCTTCAGCACCTCGGCTCTTGTCAATGGCATTCAGCCATTGGGACCACAGCCGGTATTTGCTGTCCCTGTAGTCGCCTGCCGCTGGAGGGCGGCCAACCACACCCACCGGACGGCCGCCTACGGGCCGACGGCGCCTGTAGATTCCCCTCCGCAAGAGAGGGCTGTTCCAGGGAAGGCTTATCCGCCGCCCTCCGATAGTGACTGTGTGACTCACGCCTGCACAGGGATACACACAAACAGCAACTCAATGAGATCCCCCCTTGTGCGAGAGGCTGATGTTTCCCACGCACCAGTGTATCCAGGAATGACAGCCGTGCTGAAGCAGCCGGGGGATCGGGCGCCATTCCTGCATCTGATGGCCAGGTGCATGTCGTAGCCACTGCGTCGCCCGATGAAAGACGAGAGGGGCGCCGGCACGAGAGGAAAGAGAAGCAGAAGGCAAAGGGAACGAAGGAGTGGCGAAGCCATCGATGTCACCTCCTCCTGTGCTCTGCCGTGCCTCGCGTTGTCTGCGGCAAACGTGCGGCACGTGCGGCAAACGCCCTCTCCCCATCTCCCCATCTCTCCCTCGACCGTTTAAACGCCGTCGGCCATCTGGGCCAAAACCGTTTGCCAGCTTTGGGATGCCTTCCTTTGGGAGAGCACACAACAGAACAAGACAACAGCAACACAACACAACATAAGACTCTGAGTAGCCTCAATGACCTCCTCTGCCTTCTGCTCAGTGTGGTTTCACGTGTGCCCTAAGTCGCTGAAAACGGTCCACCCATAAGGACGCAGTGGCATATGCGTTGGCTCACTCACGATATCTGTGGGTATTGTGCGGTGATTTGGCCAGCTGGCTGCCGACGGCGGAGCGTCACAATCAGGTGCTGCTGGTATCACGATGGACGTGTCATCCCAGAATCATGAATTACCTGAAGCCTCGGCAGACGAGAAGGTGCAGGAGAAAACCACAATGGGACGGCTGGATCTGTCATTGATCGCATCTGTTGTCGTTCGTTCATTCATTCAGGTGCCGTTCACCGGCTTCCGCTCGATGCCCAACGAGGTGTTGTCCTACGCCGGCTCGTTCTTCAGCACGATGGACGGCAGCAAGCAGATCTCAGAGGTCTCCCGGCACTTCTGCACATGCGCCACCGGGGAGCCGTCATCGAGCATCATGAAGCCCCACACCGAGCGGCCCGGCGAAGCATCATCTCTCTACAGCCACCTGCACATCGACAAGGAGGTCTTCTGGGACCTGCCGGCCCACGTCACGAGCCGGCTGGAGCGCACCCACCACCAGAGCATCGTGATCAAGATGGACCCCAAGTGGCCCGTCAATGAGATGGTCATCGCCGCCATCCGCCGCTCGCCCGACGTGCTGCAGAAGCTCGTCATCACCACACTCCACGGCATGGAGAGCGAGAAGTTCCCTGCTGACGGGCAAGTCGTTGGCAGCCCCCCTGCTGTCACGCCTCCTCCCCCCGCCGACCGCATCGTGTTCCCTCACGTCAAGAAGCTGCGTGTCGACAGCCTGCGGTATTTCGTGCGCATGGTCACCGAGGGGTTCGAATGGTATGCAAGCCATCGACAACACACGACAGACCGGGGGAATGGGACGCAGATATGCGGGTGTGTGTGTGTATGTGCGTGCGTGCAGGCCCGAGTTGATGGAGTTGCACGGCGATCTCTTCTTTGGTTCTGACCGGAAAGGAGACAGCTACGATGATGACCACATCACCGAGTCGTTCGTCGACCAGCCATTGGCCCACTTCCTCAGCACGTCCAAGAAGCTCCAGCGACTCTGCGTCTACCCATTCACACCGTGTAAGGTGACACCCACCCACCCAGATACAACAACAGACAGCGCCATTTATATGTCGCAATGCCTGCTTGTGTTTCAGACCCCCGTCGGCTGCCGCATTCCTTTCCCCTAATGGTGAATATGACGCACCTGACCACTCTGGAGTGGCTCAACGTTCGAGACAACCTGTCGCACCCCGAGGCACCCTTCGACGCGCTGCACCCGTTCCTCGGCGTGCTGCGGCGGCTGTGGGGCCGCAAGAACGACACCAGGAAGAGGAAGGTGACACTGCTGCGTGGCTTATGCGTCGATGAGGGGCTGATGCGCCGGATGACCAGCACTGCGGGACCCCACGGACTGAGCGGTGAGGAGAGCAACCACAGTGGGACTGCGACGAGACATCTGTGGTGTGTGCAGCTGTCGGGTTCATCGAGCAGCTGGAAGCCATGGGCTGCCAGGTGGCATACAGCGGCGGCAACACGTGAGTGACGGAGACACTCCACAGCACACACAGCCCTTCATACGCCTTGGAGTGTAATGAGTCTGCCTGTCTTTCAGGGTCAAGTTGGATTGCGTGAGTGTCGAGAACAACGTCGTCGATCCGCCGCCTCTCCACCCGGTCGTCCGAAGAATGGCCGAGGGATTTGCCGCAGCGACAAAGCGCGGTGCCAAATGACAGCCGGGCAGATGTGCATAGCCCATGTGACCTTCCTGTGTGCGTGTGTGGGTCAGTCCACATCATCTATGGGGGTGTCCGGCTGCCGGAGGTCAGCCACATCAGGAACACACAAACAAGCTTACACAGACAAACGTAGTCGGGCAAGCGGCAGCCTGCTTGCAGTGGTTTGGATGTGTGTCTGTGTCGTTGATCCATTTGTCAGCGATGGAGCTTCCTGCCGCCATTCACTCGGGCGTCGGAGCTGAGGATTACATTCGGCCGCGATGAGCTGCTCGACGTGCACGATGACGACTTCAGCACCATCCCAGGATTCCTCATCAATGAGCCAGACCGCTATCCCAACGTCAAGGACCTCATTCTCGAGCGCATCGGCAGATCGACGGGCGGCGACAGCGTCATTGCCGACCCACCGAACCCCCTCAGCCGCATCATGACCACCGCATTGCCCTCACTGCAGCGGCCGCATCTTCTTTGCATGGCCCCATCCGTGACAGCACAGTGCCTCTTATACCTCAGGGTCAGTCAGCTTAGCCTCACCTGTGGCTGGATGGCCGTCAGTCAATCTAAGTGCTTTTTCGTCCGTTTGTCAGGATCGCACGGCCAAGCTGGAGGAGTTGGAGGTCTCCTGGCCGCGCCTGCCTGTGGAGCTGCCGCCGTTAGTGCTCGCCCCGCCCCTCGTCCCGCCTGTCAAGCAGCTGCTCATCAATAACAGCCGAAGACCCGTCTGGGGAGCGGCCAGCGTTAATTCGCTCTTCAGCCTGGCCCTCCTGCTCATGCCCGACACGGCCGACATCACACTGCGGCTGTCGCATGCTGACCGGAACACGGTCTTCGCGGTCATGCAGTGTGTGCGCCGGTGCGGGCGGTACTACGACGTGGAGCTGCCCATCCCTGACGACGACGATGGCGAGGAGTCGCCCACGTTTATCGTCAAGATGACCAAGAAGGCCGGCACAGACTGATGGATGGGTGGGTGGATGGGCGAAGTCAGAAGGAGTCAGAAGGCAGTGACTTAATTGTACAGAGTTTGTCACTGCAGCATGCACGTGGTCTTGATATGGGGACAAATAAATGGATGGATGGATGGATGGTCCGACCCATATCAAGACCCACTAACTACAACTCCGTTGTGGGATGTGGCGGATGTGCTGTGATGGCTGGTGCTGCATGCTGTCTGTCTGTCTGTCGATCCGTGTGCACGTGTTATGATTGTCAGTGGAGTTTGGATGACGATGAGATGCTTTTATGTAACGCTGTTGTCTCATCATCAGCGCCCGTGTCCATCGGCCATTTGTTCGTCAGCCATCCGGCCACCGACATGCACACCAGTCAGTCAGTCGCTCACACGCAGACTTCCACGCACAGCCACACACACAGAGGAGGCATGTGGTTTGTGGACGGATGGATGGACGACTGCGTCGTACGTTGTACCATATCACTGAATGACTTAAATGAATGAGACAGGTGGGTATCTCTGTCCGCGTTGGTTCCTTCCCAGGTCTGCCTCACACGGAGGCTGCTTCCGACTGTTCAGCCCGAGGCTCGACACGCGATCGCCCCTGGCGACCACTGGCAAAGCAGTACTCTTCATCGTGCATCCAAATGATGCATGGATGAATCCGTTATCTGTCTCACAATCTCACGACGGCTCAAACTGAGCCCGGGCTGGCTAACAGCAGCAAGCCTACGATGCGTCTGTGCATGCAAGTCTCGCACATTGACAGCACGCCATGGCCGGCCATGACACACATGTCTGTCTGTCTGTCTGTCCGTTCATGTCCCCTCTATAGAGGATGACCCGTCAGCTGAGTGGTCAGTAGTGCCAGGCCCATCGCTGTGGCTGCGAGTGCCAGTTGCCCCACCGCTTCCCCGTCATGTTCACCTTACGGTGCCAAAACAACGGCATCCTGCACACACAACCACACACACACTCTCACAACCGGCCGTTCATATTTTTCCCGATGAGTGCTGGCTCACTTTGGCATCCTGTCGTGTGGCAGGAAGTGCCTCAGCCGCTGGTCGATGTCGGGGACAGGGTCCTGCCCATCGTATATCGACCCTGGTGGACACACAGACAAGGGGACAACGTGCTGTGGCCCTCTTGTGTGTCTGCGTGTGTTCCTCACCGAAGACTCTGATGGTGTCGTCGCTTTCAATCTGTGCGGCTGCCGTGGTGCAGAAGAAACCTTCTGAGTCAAAACACTCAGCCGTCGACCGAGGGCGACCGTAGTACTCCTGACGACATATGCCGAGACAAGCCAAAAAGCAGATTCGCATTCCACTTGCCCTCCTTATTTCCTTCGTGTGTGTGTCGTCCCTCACCTTGAAGAGCGATGGCGCCTTCGCCAGCAGCTGCTGCCGGTCGTCCACAGAGAGCTCCAGCCCTGCACACACAACACACCATCCGCCATCCATCCATCTAAACACCGACTCGATTGCTTCCCACCGACTGACCTGGCATCGGCAGTCCCCGGATTTCATCGAATCTTGGCGCCTCGTACCACTCGCCCGGCACCCATCCGTCCTTGGGGATGTAGCCATTCGGCTTGGCCGGCGGCAGCCGGGGGGCGTCGAGATCCCTCTCTGCTGTGTCTGTGTCGGTGGTGGTGGAAGTCAGGAGTGTTCCTGTCTCGGCGAGGGAGAAGGTCTCGATTACTTGGGCGGACGGCATCAGGCCCCGCACACTGCAGAGGGGGGACACAAGGGATGTGCATGGCATGCAGGGCGTTTGTACCATTGTTGTGGCTTACCCCTCGAGTATTTGTTTGAAGTCGGTCAGGGGTTTGTCTGTGTCTTCGCTGCCGTTGTGCCTCTGGTCGGTCCGCCACATGTCGGCCTTGAGCCGTCCCGTGTTGAGATCGTGGTCCTCTAGCGGGTCGCGGGCCATCAGCACCACACGCACAGACGACAGGCTATCCAGGTACGCCTGAGCGTGATGAAGACCCACACATCCATTGATTGATTGCACCGACAGACATACGTGTGCGTGTGTTGGTGTAGATCGGTCGGCCCACCTGTCTGTCTTTGTCGGTGGTGCCCTGGCGGGAGAACTCGTACAGAAGCGCACTGACAAGACCCAACGCATTTACCCAGTCGCGGAGCCGCCACCCCACCACACACGCATCTGTGCGCCGCTTACGTAGCGACTTGTGGGCAGATGGCCATGACGGTCACCGGTCGGTCAGCCGTTTTCTTCCGCAGCCGTTTCAGATGCTGCCACACTTTGTAGCCGTCAGCCGCCTCGCGGCCATCATAGCCTCCAAACACAACGTGACAGCCGGCATACAAGGCCCCCTGCAGCGCGTCGATGAGGCCCTCAGGACGGTGGAGCGGCAGCGCGTGGAAGAGGGTGTCGTTGGGTGTGAGGTCGAAGGCCGCCTGGCTGTTGTGCATGAGCATCGTGGTGGAGCTGAGGGTGTGCACGGCTGCCTTGGGTGCGTGGTAGGCCAGCGATGGAGGTGCGTGGGCATAGAGGTGGAGGGAGGGGGGGCTGCTGGAGGGGTCGTCACTCACCCACTGCTCTGACGACTGATCAACACACAACAGCCACACATTCATCGTTCATGGCAACGACATCCACAAGCAACCTCTCCGTCCCCTGTCTGTTTCCCACCTTCGTGGATGCCTCTACGGCGTCCCTGCTCTCCCCCGGCCGTCCTTCGCCACCCACCAACTCGTCAAAGGCCACACACGGCACACTGAGCTTCTCACAGATGCTCCTCAGCTCGCCCTCCCACATTTCGCTGCCCCACTGCGGCAACACAACGGCCGAGCACTGCGACTCGCTGATCATTTGCTGCCAGGTGTGGCCGATCCGCTCCATGTGGAAGGGTGGAGGGTCGTGAAAGGGCGACAGGGGCAGTGGCGGGGCGGGGAGAGGCACCACGGTGCTGCCGCACAGATGGGTGAGTGAGAGGTGGAGGGCCACAGAAGCGAAGGCAGGTGAGGGGAGGACGGCTATGCGGCAGTCTGAGAGGGATGATGGGGAAGAGATGGTCCGCGGCCCTCTCGTGATGCCCAGCACATCTGCACGGTGGACAAAGGTGTCGTGAATGGACCTGAGAAGCGCACACAGATCGCAGATCTACCTGTCTGCCTGTGCGAGTGAGCGTGATGCTGCAGTGGGCTGACTTTGCTTTGGCGAGCAGCTCATCGTAAGTGTGTGTGGCGCCCCTGTCGTCCTTCCGCCGCACATCAGTGATGCAGGCAGACCGGCCGTGATCAGCACACCGCTGCACAACACACAAGCAACCAGCGAGCCGACAAGCAACGAGCAAATAGTGTGTTTGAGTGCTGCTTGTATGTTTGTGCTTCATTGCCCACCTGAATGAGAGATGCCGCTGCAGCTGATGCGAAGCCCCTTTGCTGCGCAGGTGAAGCATCAAACGTCAACGGAAATCTCTTGTTTGTCTGCTTCGCTGCTGCTGCTGTAGTGAAGGTCACGTAACGCATTGATGACAGGCAATTGAGGTCTGCGGGAAAAGCCGGAAGGCGAGCTCAAAAGATAGCGATCGGTCGCAGCAAGCTGATGGGCCTGACGGCTCTCGAGGCACCGACCGCCTGAATGCATCTCACTCCTTCTCATTGAAGCAGCTCGAATGAACGGGTGAGATGGAGTGAGATGAATGAGTGAATGAACGAATAAATCCTTTTTGCAATGAGCGAGTGAAGAGAGGACAGAAGGTCAGTGTCAAGGCGTGTGGTGTGTCTCACCTTCATCTACATGTATCCCTTCGTCCGCAATGGTGACGTGACATACACTCAATGGATAGCATCGATCTCATGGCATGGAACAGCTACTCAGTCATATTCCTGTCTCTCCCTCCCCCAGCTCGCTAAACACCCTGCTGTCCCCTCCCGCCTTCTCCCACATCGATGTTGGCATGTAGGGACGTCATGTGATGGGCTGATCGGCCCACTGCCGCACCTCATCGCGCGACCCGGCGAACTCTACCCTCTTTTTGCAGTGCTCACACTGGTACTCCGGCTCATGCAGCAGCTCCACCAGCGCTATCTTGTCCTTCTTCTTGCGGCCCTCGTTCTTTCTCTTGATGCCCTCGTTCTCCTCACGCCGCCGCGAATTCTCCGCCCGCACCTGCTGGAGGTCCCGCCGCCACTTGCTGCAGCGGTCGTCATAGCACTGGCGACACAGCCGCAGGTGTCTGCAGGGCATGCACATGACCGATGGCGGCGCGTCGAGGCAGATGGCACACTCACGCCCATCTCCCTCTGGCTGGGCCGCTGCCGGGGGCTGCTGCTGATGCTGCGGCTGGGGGAAGGCTGCTGTTGCGGTAGAGGGGCACTCGAGCTGCTGGACGAAGACGCCTGGTGCTGCTGGATGCTCATCTGGGCAAGCCTGTGTGTGTGCATCAATCGCATCATGCGCCGTGTGTGTGGTATGGGACGTGGGCCCGCGTACCTTCGTTTGGTCTCTTCGAGCTCCCTGGCGAGTTCATCATTTTTCCGCTGCAGCTCAGCCTCCCGCGACGACACTCCCAAACTGCACACACACACGGTCACACACACACACACACACACAAAGACGCGGCAAGGCATTCCAATCAGATTTGTCCCATCCGTGCGTCAACGACCATGTGTATGCCACCCACCTATCACCTACACCACCACCACCAGCAGCAGAGGCGCCCTGGTTGCCCTCATGATCATGCGATGGCCTGACCACACACACGCAAACCCAATAATGTGACGAGCCGCAGCTCGTGGCTTTGTGTGTCGGTGGGCCTGCCTACCCTAGTGGCTGCTGGTATGGTGTCGCTGCTGCGGCTGCCACAGCTGGTGGTGCAGCAGCAGCAGTGGGATGGTCGTAGCTACTGGAGGATGGACAGGCGTCAAACGTGGTGCTGCCAAAATGTAGAACAGACACTGGCAGTTTGATGGTGGCTGTGCTGCGTGTGGGTCGACAGCTCCGGTGTGCTACCTCGGCCAGTAGAATGACGAGGGACGGTGCTCATCGTAAGTCAACGAAGCCCCAGGTGACCTGAGAAGATGCATGCACCATAACCACCCACCGGTGTGTGCGTGAGGTGTCCTGATGTCGGCCTGTCTGTTTCTTACCTGGGGCACTTGACGAGTGGCGGAGGGCCCCGGTGACACGACGGACGATGCCCACTTGACGACGAGGGAAACATAGCCCTGGACACGGCGTCTTGCAGAGGGCCGGGCGATGCCGCTGCTGCTGCGGATGAGAGCGACGAAGAGGGCGGCATGGATGGCGGGGGCATCATCATGGCGGCTGGATTGGCCTCGTGGATTGACGCAAGGATGGCGATCTGGGTCTGCGCATCATACTCCTCGTCATCCTCACTGCACACACAGAAACGGCACCTCTGCCGTGGTGCTTGTGCGCTGCACGTCTGTGGCAGACAACGGACCTGTCGTCTGGGTCTTGGTTTGCCGGTCCAAATGACAGCGATGATGCAGATGCGGCCGCGGCACCTGACGAGCGAGATGAGGGCCTGCAAAGCAACAAGGGAGAGAATGTGATCTCATCCACTGGCCAACGGAGACTCACTTCTGTCGGTTCGGCCGACCAGTGCCCCTCGTGTCGGCGTCATCAGCAGCTGCCGCAACCGACGGCAGCCTGCATGACAGCCGCAATGAGTGAGCAAGTGTGTGCGTGGGCCTCGCTGTGCCGACCTCTGCACTGTGTCTGTCCCCTCGCCGTCAGCACCAGTTTCCTCTACGTCGCTACCAGCATCACGCTCTACACCCTCCTCAGCCACCGACTCAACACGCCTACAAGAGACCCCAACGACACCAGAAGATCCATGCACCATAACCAGCCACTGGTGTGTGCGTCAGGCGTCCTCATGTCGGCCTGTCAGTGCCTTACCCGGGACACTTGACGAGTGGCGGAGGGCCCCGGTGACACGACGGACGATCCGCACTCGACGACGAGGCAAACAGTTCGTCACTGACACGAAGAGAGACGACCACACACAACAGCGCCATTCATTGTGCCCATCCATTCATCCCATTCTCTGTGTCTGTCTGCTTACAGCTGCTGTGGCTCATGTGCTAGAGGGGGAAATGGATCATCGGCACCGCTCGGCGGTCTGTGTGCAGGTGGGAGGGGCCGAGGGGGTGGGGGCGGGTAAGAGGGACTTGACAACACAAACGATCGCCGCTTGGCCGACTCGCGCAGCTCCGCAGCCGATGGCAGACGGGGAATGGAAGGGGCCGGCCGAGGCAGCAGGGCTGGTGCGGCAGCCGGGAGGCCCAGCCCCCTGCCTCCACCCAACTTGCCGCCTGCCGGCTCCATCGGCAGGCGCTCCTCGCGGGGGGTCTGGTCGGCCGTCGACACACAGCTGGGGTGAGAGAGCAGCAGACGATCAGCCGAGGGCTGGTCAGTCGTCTTGCGCTTGGGTGTGGGGGGCTGGAAGGGCGAGAAGGGGGAACGAGTCGACCTTTTGGTGTGGGCAGCTGGCTTGGGTCTGGTGGGGGCAGCCTTCTGGTGTTTGGGGCTGGTTGTCTGCTTCTGGCTCTCGATGGCGCGGCTAGCGAAGGCTGACCCCAGCAGCAGGGAGTCGCCGTCCTCATCAGCGTCATCGGCTGCCCCACTGCTGTCCGCCTGATCGTCTTCGCCACCCGGCGGGCTGCTGGTGGAGGTGGCAGTGGAGGTGGCTGTGCTGGGCTGCCCCTTGCCCACCTTGCCCTTCTTCTTGCCGCCTTTCCCCTCAGGCGCCGCTTTCTTCTTGCTGGCCGCCTCCTCCTCTTTGATGAGTGCCGCCATTTTGGCGTCGGCGTCCCTCTGCTGCCGCGCCAAGTCGGCGGCTGTGGGGGCCTCCTTGGCCTGTCGTGTGGCCTGCCGGCTCTTGCGCTTGTCGCGGTGCTCCTTCAGCTTCTGCAGCCGCTCCTGCGCCTCGATGGTGGCGGGGCGCGGCTCGGGAACGGGCAGCTCGTTGACCACGGTCGCCCGCTCCGCCAACACAAGCTGGCGGCAACGACGCTGATGTTCTGTGGCCGTGGGCATGAGGGCGCTGTCGGTGCCCGCCTCGAGCAGCACACGGATGGCCTTCTGGAGGTTGGGGATCCGTCCTCTCGATTCGTCCTTCGTCTCCTCGCCCACCTTGTCGTCCCGCAGCCGCTGTGTGTCGCTATTGAGCTGTATGGCAGCGGTGGCAAGGGCTGTGAGAGTGGGATCATTCAGCCGCCCTCTGTTGATGTCGGCAGCGGTGAGACGGCGGCAGAGAGACGCAGCGACACAGTGAGAACCGCAGATGGCCGCGAAGTGCAATGGCGTCGCTCCACCGCTGCTCGCGGCCGTGATGTCGGCCCCGTTGGCCACCAGCAGGTCGATGTAGTTCTCGATGAACTGCTGGGACCAGACGGGCGGGGTCATGGCCGCCACATGCACCTGATTGGTGCCATCCGAGTCCCGCTCGGTTGCGAGTGTGCTGTCCCGCTGGATAAGCTGCCGGTACAAGGACAGCAGGATGGCCTCACTCTCCTCAGTCGGCTGATCCGTCGGCAATGTGCGCGGCAGCTGCATCACCCATCGCCCGCGCAGCTGGAGGCCTGGAACAGACAGACAGACAGACAGACATCATGGTGTGTGTTCCGTGTGGTGAGTGCTGTGAATGCGTGTGTACCTGGCTGGCCCATCAAGAGGTCAAAGGCGGCCGGGTTGCAGGCCCTGATGGCCACCCGGATGGGCCAACACATATCGGCTGGTCCGTATTCAATGCGCCCGGCAGCTTCATCACGCCGACCCGCATTGATGTCCGCCCCTCCCTCGATCAGAGCTCGCATGATGGCGAGCTGGAGGGCGGGGGTCTGCCACATGGGCATGGCGACGGGAGTGCAACCACCATTGACGTCGCCTGCCCAGATGGACGGCACGCTGTTGTTGGTGAGGTTGTTAATGCACAGCGACAGCACCGGATAAGTTACAGAGCCGCCCGTAGTGCCTGTCGTCAGCAGCCCCGGCTCCACATTGGGGTCGGCTCGCAGCTGCTGGATCAGTTCCGTCACCTGCTGAGCGTCAGTGATGGTGTGGTTGACGATGCCGCCACACAGCCGAATGCTGGCGTCACTGGTGCCAGTAGGGACACTGACGTCGACCACCCCGTTCTCCAAGCTCCTCCAGCCAAGTGGTAACGCTGCCCCTAAGGCACACGTGGAGACAGACACACAAGGTTGGGAATGAAAGTGAGTATGTGTGTCGGTGATTGTTTACCTCCTATTTGTCGTGTCCGGCCCTGCCCGCTGCGATATATTCGGTGCGCTGCCCTGCTAAGCACTGGAGGCACCAGCACTAACACCGAGGCCCCGACCCACATCGCTAACGCCTCCACGATCACCTTCACACACGGACAACACACACAGGCCCGAGCAGGTAGGTGGATGTGCCGCTGATGTGTTGGATGCGGTCGCTCACCCTCGTCAATGCCACCACTGCGATTGCCTTTGTTCTCTGTGTGCCGGCCGCCACCGGTGGTCTCCTCCTCGGCTACCTCGACTGCAAAGGAACACACACATCCACACACGATGATGCTGTGTGTGGGATGTGCTGCATTTGTCTGAGCTGAGTGTACCATCGCCATCGCCACCGTCCGCCAGGCCATTGGAGGCCATGTCGGTTTCGGGACGACCAGACGACATCACTATCACTCACTCTCTCAAACAGACAGACAGCTGCACCACAGACCACACACAGATAGATATGGGCCTGCAGGCACCTGGCGTGTGTGTTGTGTGCATCAGTGCTTGCCTATCAAAGGTATGAGTCGACGGCCAGCCGCACACAGAGGCTCACTCAATCAAACAGTCCGCCCGTCGACAAGGCAGACCTGAAGACCACAACACAGACAGCAAACTGCTCATCGGTGTGCTTATGAGTGAGCCAATCGCCGCATCTTCCCATTCACCGTCGCACGACAAGCCGCTACGTGCGCGATGATCTGTAGGGCAGCAGGGCCGTGCCCACTCAACAGCGATTGGAAAGGCCGCTGAGGGGTCAGGTGGGCACACGGGAAGCGGCTGAGCGATGGACAAGCGGACTCGTCCGCTCAGCAGGACCTCTCCAAGGCTCGCATCGATCAGCTCGCAGGTCGACAAAGGAGAGGGGAGAGCCCTTCTGGTGGGCCCACAGGACTCTTCCGAAGTCAATCGTCCAGTCGCATTGAGCCGCGCTCACTTTGGATGAATCGTTTTGGCGGGAAGAGCAGCTCACTTGATTCCCTGTGCGTGTGTGCTGTGTCATGATTGACACGTGACTCCCTGAGTGTCTGTGTGTCATCGCTGACAGACGCTTCACGCAATATAATATTTGTGTCTGCGCTGCGTGAATCGCTAAAGAAAGATCACATGAGACCAGCAGACAGCACATAGTAGATAGATGGCAGAGTAGAATGACTGGTTGAGCTTTCAGAGACAGGATTCAAGGAGGAGGGGGACTCAGCCAGCCAGCTTTGTGTGTGTGGGGACGGATGCTGGTCTATATATGCATATGTTGGCGGCAGATCGACAGACCACTGCATGAACCCAACCCGTGTTCGCCGTTGCAAGTTTGCCTTATCGAGGTTACGGCGGTCCTTCTGCCTCTCTCACAGAGACTATGTACACAGCAACGTCTCTTTAGAAAGGTACTGACTACACTACACACACGCCAGGCCTGCCTGAACAAACGAGCACACGAGAGCCGACGAACAAATAGCTGAGGGAGCTAGCTGAGTGACAATATCAAGAAGGAAAAAAAGAAACAAAGGGACAGACAGACACCCGACCTGACTGACTTATCCACCCTCCCCCCTCCCCCGCAACACACACACACACACACCCACACACACACTGGCAGCTGCACAAGGGCCACCTTCACGCCTGTATGAGGGCTTCCCTCTCGGCCGAGGTGTTGCTGAGCTCTATTGGGTTGCCGGCACCCCTGCACTCACACACACAAGGGCACAGGTATATCACTCAGATGCGCCAGGCCTGTTTTGCGTGTCCGTACGTGTGTGTGACTGGGCTAGGCTTGGTCTGGCTGTTGATCAGTTTTGCCCGACCCGTTAGCTGCAGCAGCCTGGGCGGCGGTGCTGTCGGGGGGAACGTAATGGTACTCGTACATTGGGAACTCAAACAAGAACACCTGCACACACACACACACACACACACACATTCATTGGTGAGGAGGCGACAACTGCATCGGCCACTCCATCCATCCACCCACATCACTGACCTGTTTGACGATCATGGGCAGATTCCTGTACACAACCTGTGGCATTGGGATGACGGGCGAGACGTCCCTCTGGTAGGCCTCTATCATGGGCCTGCTGGTGGGGTTCTCAAAGTAGCGCTTCAGGTTGGCCCCTTCGGCGTAGGGAATGCCGCTCAGGAACAGCAGCAGGATCATGGTCCATATCGGGCTCACCACCGTCGCCCACCCCCAGGTATCCTGATGGATGGATGGATCGATCGGTGCAGAGAGAGAGAGAGAGCGGGAGCAAGGCCTCGTTGGCCGCTTGCCGCGGCGGTGTGTGTGTCATGATGTATGTGTACCGTTGACTCGTGTATCGCCCTTGCTGACATCAGAAAGATCGCCCACCAGATCACCATCTCGCCGAAGTAGTTCTGATGCACACACACACAGGGTGGATCCCATTCCCCCCATCTGTCTGTCTGTCTGTTTTCTTTCCCTGCTCACCGGGTGTCTCGAGTAGGCCCACAGGCCGGTTGTGCATGGGATGCCCCTGTTGGCAGGGTTGGCGCGAAAGATGTACTTCTGCACGTCCGACACCACCTGGCAGATGAACCCAAGGGCGAAGAGGACGATGCCGATGAAGTCGGTCGGGCCCAGTGATGGGTTCTCCTTCTCAGACACGACAAAGATGCCATTCAGTGTGCTGCCCCAACACCTGCACGCAGACAGAAGGAACCATCCATCCATCCATCCAGGTTTGTGGAGGTCCGTCATGACATCTGTGATGCTCACCAGAGTATCTGCCCTGTCCAGAAGCCGAAGTAGTACAAGAAATTAGACCGAAAGGTGTCAAACCTGAACGAGCACCGTCCACCGTCAGCACACACAACCGGGTGAATCTATGCCCCTCCATCCCCACACAGATGCCCGCTCGCCCTCCCGCCCCTCTGTCTGTCGGCACCTCACCTGGTGTCCGATTTGCGTTGCAGGACCCTGTAGAAGAGGAAACCCGCCAGGTATAGCCGCGTCACGACTATGAACACCGTCACCAGCACCTGGCGCTCGAAGTATGTGTTGGCAAGGATGAGAGGGATGATGATATTGATGACGAAATTGGACGCCCCCGACAGATCCGTGATCTTGTCGCTGCTCCGACACACGCACACACATCAGACCCATGGCACAGACAGCTATACGATGACTGATGGCCCTTCTCTCTTTTTTCTTCCCTGTAACCCCTTACAATTGCAGCCCGTATGCGATTGCGAAGCACGTGTACTGGACGGCACACGTCACCAGGAAGGTGAGGAAGAAGTAATGCGTGTCGAAGGCGAACGCCTCGATGGCAGCCATCCCTTTATCTTTGCTTCACTGACACAGATCTTGCTTCACGCTGACGTAGCTGACATCAGGCAGTGTGCAACCAAGATAGACTGAACGCGCGGCTTCACGAATCTTTCGACGCTAAGCTCGCAGATGGGAAGCGCAGCTCGCATCATTTTGCGCAGACGGAAGGGAAAAGAGGACGGCAACTGGCATGTGGTGGCACGCGCAGGCTCCGCAAACGACTGCAGAGAGCGACCAGTCTCCCCGTACACGCAATGCTCGTGCGGCTGAGAGGGGTGGACGTGCGAGGCCAGGGCATTCCCCCGCGCGGCGCACGCAGCAGCTAAGGAGATGGCGTCTGTGGCAAAGGAGTGCGGCCGTCCTGCTGCTGTCGTGTGCACTCGCACCTCATGGCGTGCGGAGCCATCAGTGTCGCCACGGGAAGGTTGAAGGCAGGTTCCACGAGAGCTACAATGGCCAGGGGGGAGTCTACACGGCCAGCAGGGTGGAGTACGGCGAAGAGCGGCGACGCCTGCAGAGATCAGCACAATCGTGGGCAGCAGAGAGGCCAACGATGGACCGACACTGAGTGTGTTGGTGTGTGTGTGTGTGTAGGTCTGCTGTGTACGAGCCTCTCCGAATTCACGTCGTGACCGACCCCGTCGAGGAGTTCCTGCGGGACGAGCCGGCCATCCTCAAGTACCTCAAACTAGATGGTAAAACATTAGTGTCAGTCAGTCATTGCAATCATTGCTCATGACACGACCGACACACGCCATGCCATGCGTAATCGGATGTACACTTCTTACTTGTCGGTGTGCGTGTGTAAATGGTTCGTTCAGTCATCCCCGCAGCACTGAACTGGGTGCAACTCGCTCTCCGCGTCAAGCGGGCTGAAGGGCCGCTCTCTCTACAGCCACAGGTGTGTGTTGTGCATTACACAAAGCATGCCAGCCTGCCTGCCTCAGAAGTGCTCATCCCATCCGTCCCTCCCCTCTCCCTTTGTCGGCCTGTCCTGTCTTCAGTGTGGCCGGCTGTGGATGGTGCAAGGCGACTCGCCCCCGTCGAACCCCTCCGACATCAAGTGCGTCGCCCTCAGTCCCAACGGCACCATGTGCGGCGACGTGCCCATCCCCGAGGAGCACCTCTCGCCCATCAGCATGTGCCCCGACAGCGTCTACAGCTGCACACGGCGCTACGAGGGCGGGGGCGTCCCCGACGCCGACTACATCCTCTACGTCACGGCCAACTTCGACGAGGCGTGTCAGAGCGAGTCGGTGGGGTCGACCGTCGGCTATGCGGGCCACTGCCGGAGGGACCAGCACGACCGGCCGATAGCCGGGCAGCTCAACCTCTGCCCCAGGGAGCTCCTGGCCGTCAACACCAACGCCACCAACGACACGGCGGCGTCTGGCCCGACCATCAGCCTGGCGTCCGACCAGATGCCGCCCACGCGGTTGCTGCGGCCAGAGCGGCGGGTGCTGCAGGGCGGTGGGCGGTCTGTGGGTGAGGGCGGGATGGCGCACCTCGGTGCCGACTGGCGGATGGACGTCAGCTTTGTGGTGCACGAGACGCTGCACGCCCTGGGCTTCTCTGAGAGTGACATAGCCTGGTTCAGAGATGTCGACGGGCAGCCCCTTACACACAGAGACGAGCAAGGACGGTACGAACACACACATCACACACACAAGATTGGAGCGAGGGATGGAGGGAGGGCCTATTCTGCCCGTGTCTGTGTGTCACGTCAGGCCTCCCTTTGACGCCTCAGCGGGCCCCCAGGGCGGGTGGCTCCCCAGCGCCGCCCTCGTCGACACCTCCAACGCCACTGGCCGTGTGGTCAAGCGGGTCACCACACCGCGAGTCGTCACCGAGGCGCAGAAGCACTTCGGATGCGAGTCGATGACTGGTCTGGCTCTCGAGGACCAGGGTGACTTCGGGACTCGGTTCGGGCACTGGGAGAGCCGCTTGCTGCAGAGTGAGGGGATGACGGGTAGCAGGGACGGGCAGGAGCATGCGGCCTTCTCGAGCATGACTCTGGCGTTTTTCGAAGTAAGTGAAGTGAGCTATCAACGTCCGTCCGCCAAGCAATCTATATGTCTCTCCCTCCGACCCTTTTTGTCTGGCTGGCTTGTGTTCAGGACAGTGGGTGGTACTTGCCGGACTACTCGTGGGCGGGAGACTTAACATGGTGCGCCCCACCCCACCGGCCCCTAGGACCTGTTCGTTCCCATATGGATAATGCACTTGTGTGTGTGTGTGTGTGTTGCCCCTCTGTCCTGTCGTGTAGGGGTCACCGGTCGTTCACTCGCGACGGGTGCTCCTTCGTGGCTGAGACTTGCCTCAATCAGGCTGAGGGCGGGGGGCCGCCCACGCCCATCGACCCCAACCACTTCTGCGTGGGGGAGGGGGGGCAGGAACAAAAGCTCCACTGCACACAGGTGTGTGAGGGGCTGGGAGGATGGCCTCCCCTCCATGTGTGCATGTTCATGTGTGTCGATCGGATCGTTCCTTGCAGGACCTCCGTGCGGTTGCGCTGTGTCCGTTGGCTCAGTACGAGTCGCCCCTGCCACTGTGGGCGCGGCACTTTGAAGACGACGACACACGAGGAGGGTCAGTGAGTCGGCAGGCACCCACCGCACCACCACAAACGAACGACACCCACCCATTGCTCTCTGGACGATTCTTTCTTTGCTGCCACTTGTGTGTGGTGTGTGTGCAGTCCCTCCCAGATGACTAATTTTTGCCCCATATGGATGCCCTTTGAGCGCCTGGCGCCCAACGGCAGACCCCTCAATGCCACCTCACTCTGCACAGAGTACGTCACACCCTCTCAACACACGACGATACAGACACACACGTGTGTGTGCACACTCACCCAGTCCGTCCAACGACGTGGCCGAGTACAATTACTTCGGCGAGGTCTACGGCGAGGACTCCCGGTGCATGGCGTCGTCTCTGCTGGAGGACGGGTACGTCTTCGACGACTCACGCCCTCCCTCAGGCAGGTGCTACCGCCGCGAGTGCGTCACGGCAGAGGGCGACGACCCACACGCAGACTACGACGCCGTCATTGTGCACCTGCAGGGCGGACAACAGGTCCGTCCACTCACACCCAAACAGCACATATCTATGCAGGTCTGTTTGTCTGTCTGTGTGATTGCAGGTTCGGTGTGGTGTGAGTGACGGCGGCAAGTGGAAGACAGTCGAGGGCATGAACGGGCAGCTGCGGTGCCCCCACGTGGCGCAGGTGTGTTTCGGCTCGCCGTGTGAGAACGGCGGCGTGTGGCGGGACCGGCGGTGTGTGTGCCCGCCTGGATACATCGGCAAGCGGTGTTCCCACGAGGACCGGTCGGGCAACAGGCGCATCATCCCTTCTTACTTCCACTACACTCCCGACGACGTCACTATCAAAGGTATCCATAAAGCCACCCAGCCACCACCCACCCCTCCATCCATGCCCTTGTGTGTGTGTCAGTGGGGTCGTCTTACCGCTTCGAGGCTCGGGTGCAGGGCATTGTCAGGAACTACACCTCCATAAGGTGAGCTTAACTGACACGAGCTGACCCAACCCAAGGCACACATGTCTGTCTGTCTGTCTGTCTGGGTGGGTGGTGATTGTGTCCCAGTGCGCTGCCGGAGGGCCTGACTCTCGACACAGACACAGGCACCATCGAAGGCACACCGAAGGAAACGACTGACGGTGCGCTCTCACCTCCCTTCCCCCCCCCCC